GGCAGAATATGAAGAGCAGAATCTTTACTACTGATGTTTATGAAACATGTAGGGAAGCACAGTTTGTTATTCACAGGTCAAGTTTACAGAGCTGGCAGTCAGAGAAAACATCCCTTTACTTGTATACTGTGAAAACTGTCCATGAAGGTCATTAAGGCACAAATGCAGAACCACTTTTCAGAGTATATCTTCGCTCTAAGGCCCCGATCGTACAAAGATTTGATTGAAAGGGATTAACTGCGTGGTTAAAGTTAAGCACGTGTTTAAGTCTCCGTATGGACCCTTCAGCTGAAGTGGATGCCTGTTTACATAGTCTTATTGCAATCAGTTGTCAAGATAAGTGAAAAAAAAACGGCGGTCACTTGAAGGCTAACACAAAGGGGTTGACAGTATTGACAAGGAACTGAAAGTCTCTTTTTAACTGTATGAACTTTCAATAAAAAGAAAAGGCACCTTAAAGACTAACAAATTTATTAGAGCATAAGCTTTCATGAGTTACAGCTCACTTCATCGGATGCATACAGTGGAAAATATAGTGGGGAGATTTTATATACACAGAGAACATGAAACAATGGGTGTTACCATACAGACTGTAACAAGAGTGATCAGGAAAGGTGAGCTATTACCAGCAGGAGAGCGCTGGGGGGGGGGGGGGAAGACCTTTTGTAGTGATAATCAAGGTGAGCCATTTCCAGCAGTTGAGACAAGAACAGTAGGGGGGTAAATAAATAGTTTTACTTTGTATAATGACACATCCACTCCCAGTCTTTATTCAAGCCTAAGATAATTGTATCCAGTTTGCAAATTAATTCCAATTCAGCAGTCTCTCACTGGAGTCTGTTTCTGAAGTTTTTTTGTTGAAGAATTGCCACTTTTAGGTCTGAAATTGAGTGACCAGAGAGATTGAAGTGTTCTCCGACTGGTTTTTGAGTGTTATAATTCATGACGTCTGATTTGTGTCCATTTATTCTTTTACATAGAGACTGTCCAGTTTGGCCAACGTACATGCCAAAGGGGCATTGCTAGCACGATGGCATATATCACATTGGTAGACGGGCAGGTGAACGAGCCTCTGATAGTGTGGCTGATGTGATTAGGCCCTATGATGGCGTCCCCTGAATAGATATGAGGACACAGTTGACAACGGGCTTTGTTGCAAGGATAGGTTCCTGGGTTAGTGGTTCTGTTGTGTGGTTGCTGGTGAGTATTTGCTTCAGGTTGGGGGGCTGTCTGTAGGCAAGGACTGGCCTGTCTCCCAAGATTTGTGGGAGTGATGGGTTGTCCTTCAGGATAGGTTGTAGATCCTTGATGATGCATTGGAGAGGTTTTAGTTGGGGGCTGAAGGTGATGGCTAGTGGCGTTCTGTTATTTTCTTTGTTGGGCCTGCCCTGTAGTAGGTAACTTCTGGGTACTCTTCTGGCTCTGTCAATCTGTTTCTTCACTTCAGCAGGTGGGTATTGTAGTTGTAAGAACGCTTGATAGAGATCTTGTAGGTGTTTGTCTCTGTCCGAGGGGTTGGGGCACATGCAGTTGTATCTTAGGGCTTGGCTGTAGACAATGGATCGTGTGGTGTGGTCTGGATGAAAGCTAGAGGCATGTAGATAAGTATAGTGGTCAGTAGGTTTCTGGGATAGGGTGGTGTTTCTGTGACCATCGCTTATTAGCACCGTAGTGTCCAGGAAGTGGATGTCTTGTGTGGACTGCTCCAGGCTGAGGTTGATGGTGGGATGGAAATTGTTGAAATCATGGTGGAATTCCTCAAGGGCTTCTTTTCCATGGGTCCAGATGATGAAGATGTCATCAGTGTAGTGCAAGTGAAGTAGGGGCATTAGGGGACGAGAGCCGAGGAAGCGTTGTTCTAAGTCAGCCATAAAAATGTTGGCATACTGTGAGGCCATGAGGGTACCCATAGTAGTGCTGCTGATTTGACAGTATACATTGTCCCCAAATGTGAAATAGTTATGGGTGAGGACAAAGTCAAAAAGTTCAGCCACCAGGTTTGCCGTGACATTAATCGGTGATAGTGTTCCTGACGGCTTGTAGTCCACCATTGTGTGGAATGTTGGTGTAGAGGGCTTCTACATCCATAGTGGCCAGGATGGTGTTTTCAGGAAGATCACCGATGGACTGTAGTTTCCTCAGGAAGTCAGTGGTGTCTTGAAGGTAGCTGGGAGTGCTGGTAGCGTAGGGCCTGAGGAGGGAGTCTACATAGCCAGACAATCCTGCTGTCAGGGTGCCAATGCCTGAGATGATGGGGCGTCCAGGATTTCCAGGTTTATGGATCTTGGGTAGCAGATAGAATACCCCTGGTCAGGGTTCTAGGGGTGTGTCTGTGCGGATTTGTTCTTGTGCTTTTCCAGGGAGTTTCTTGAGCAGATGGTGTAGTTTCTTTTGGTAACCCTCAGTGGGATCAGAGGGTAATGGCTTGTAGAAAGTGGTGTTGGAGAGCTGCCTAGCAGCCTCTTGTTCATATTCCGACCTATTCATGATGACGACAGCACCTCCTTTTATCAGCCTTTTTGATTATGATGTCAGAATTGTTTCTCAGGCTGTGGATGGCATTGTGTTCTGCACAGCTGAGGCTATGGGGCAAGTGATGTTGCTTTTCTACAATTTCAGCCCATGCACGTCGGCAGAAGCACTCCATGTAGAAGTCCAGTCTGTTGTTTCAACCTTCAGGAGTCCACCCAGAATCCTTCTTTTTGTAGTGTTGGTAGGAAGGTCTCTGTGGGTTAGTATGTTGTTCAGAGGTGTGTTGGATATATTCCTTGAGTCAGAGACATTGAAAATAGGATTCTAGGTCACCACAGAACTGTATCATGTTTGTGGCGGTGGAGGGGCAGAAGGAGAGGCCCCGAGATAGGAAAGATTCTTCTGCTGGGCTAAGAGTATAGTTGGATAGATTAACAATATTGCTGGGTGGGTTAAGGGAACCATTTGTTTGTCTCTAAGGTGCTTTTCTTTTTGCGCATATAGACTAACACGGCTGCTACTCTGAAACCTGAACTTTCAATAGTCAAATTTGAAACCAAATTCAAATAGCTCCCTTAAAAAAAGCTGTCCTTGCTGTATTATCGATAGTATTCACAAAAATATTATGAACCAACCATTCCATCAACTAATCAATAGTGCTTTCTTTGTTTTTGTAAGAAAAAACCAACAGCAGGAGGCAAGCTTTTTCAGCTCCATTGCCTAGTAGTGACTTTCAGATTCAAATCAAACCAAAACAGTACAGTTTTGCTGGAAAATAATCAGATATATTTCAGGATATTCAATGAAAAGTAATTACGTCAATGCTAATAATTATTTTTGATTTCTTCTGCTTACGATGAAAGAACCTGACAAGATAATTCTAGTAAAGTAATATGGATTGGTACAGATTCCTATGAGTTTATAATAAAAGACTGAAATGACAGTAACCTTAAGTGCTTTGCTAAAAAAGAATGGATTTGAGAACATGCTTATGTATTTTGTTGGAGCCTGAGGCCTAGCTCCTACAATGAGCTCTGTGCAGGTAGATCCCTGTAGCTCACAGAAAGTCCCACTGACGACCCAATGCAGAAATCAGGGTCTGTGTTCATAAGTGTTACCTGTCCTATAGAAAGCACATGCTTTCTCCTGATTGACAACTTATTTGTTCTAAAATGTAGTATTATTTTAACTCTGTGTTATTCTCTTACAAAAAATTAAGAGGTTGGGGGAGAGAGGGATGTGGAGAACAATTAAAGATTCTGCAGCACCATAACTGAAGCCCATGTAAGATCCATCCCCCAGATTCATGCACTGGGGGGAACTTTTACACACAATCCTCTCTCACAAAATTGGGTCTCAGCTTCCTCCATAGCACTGTCCTCATTTGTAGCACTGTATATAGGGCTCCACACAAGACTGGGATCCACAAAGACATAGGGGGTAAAGACAGACAGTGGATGGAGAGTGGGAAGCCCCACTGGCATTCCCTCCCTCCTCAGCATTACGGTGCCAATCGAGAAAGAGTAATATTGCATTTAATATAGTTAGGAATAAATACTTAATATACGTACAGTACTTTGAAAATAAAGGGTAAGCACTATAGATGCTAAATATTATTAATCTGGTCCTTATAGAGAACATTTTATTACATGTACCTACAACTGTTTTGAACATTATCTAAAAGAGAGGCTAAGTGATTTGCCCAGGGTCACACAGGAAGTATGTGGTACAGCAGGGAACTGAACCTTTATCTCCTGAGTCACAAGCTAATAAATTAACATGAAGATGTTAGCTATGGATGCTCAGTGCCTCTGAAACTCAGGGAATTTTAGTTGAGGCAAAAGAATCCACAGTTATATACCTAACTTTACCATTTCTCTATTTAAGTCTACAGAAAAAAAGAAGTTCCTACCTGAGCGCCAAGGTGCCGTTAACATCATTTTAAAAGTACAACATTTGAGAGCCAGCAGCTTCCTCAAAACTCACGAACTACAACAAGAATCAAATTCAAGCAACATCTTACTACTACAAACACCACCTCCCCCAGAAAATGAGCAGAGACGAACTTTGTGGCGTGACCTGAAGATCAGATTCCAGCCCCAGGAGAGAGAGCCGCAACCTTGCCTTACTCCCGGCTCCCTTCTGTTACAAAGGGGGGCTCCAGCACTTCCCCAGCCTCCCCTACCTCAGTATGAGGGAAAGGGAAGCAGCGTCTCGGAGGATGTCTACACTGCACCGGGAGGTGTGATTGCAGCCTGGGAATGCCTGTGCGGGCTGTAACCTAGCCCGCCCAGCTACCCACGGCGGTACAGGCTGTACCCGCCCACCCAGGAACCCGTCACCGGGATATTTAGCAAGCGAGCTAGATTAAAGCTAGCACAGGCGGGCGCAGGGAGGCCGCAATCATACCTCCCACTGCAGTGCGGGCATCCTCTGACGGGCACCGCTGCCCGAGTTCTCTCCCGTCGCTACTGACAGGGAGGGAAACTGAGGCAGGGCCAGCTTCACCCCTCCCCAGCCTCCCCACAGGTACACAGTGAACGCGAGGCTCCCTCCTCCCCGGGGCTTTTTCCGCTCCCGCAGCCCCAGAGCCTGGGAGAAAGGGCCGGAGAGCCCGCCGTTTTATTGCGCAGTCAGGGCGGCTGGGACCCTGACTGTCCCCAGCTAAGGCGGCAGCCTCCCCGCGGCGCCCGGCTGTGACGGCCACGCGGCGCCCCGGCGCTGCACGAGAAGGGAGGAGCGAGCCGTCGAGGCCCAAGGCAGGAAAGAGACGCGCACGCGCCACTCAACGACAGCTCGCACGCCAGCGGTTGGACGGCGCGCGCCTCCCCCTCGTCCCTCCCCACCTTCCCCCCTCCCCTCTGCCCTCGCGTTCTCCATGCGACGTCGCTGAGCAAGAAGCCGCCGTGTCGGACGCGGCAGATTCGCCATAATCCGCCACCTCGCTTTTCTGACCCCCCATTAAAAATAATAATTTCACAAGGAGCGGGGAAGCCCGCGGGTCGCCCGGGTGGCCTCGTCCACTGGGACGGAAGTGCTTTAAAAAACCCCACCGTGGCCTTATTTCACTACTACCCCCCTCCCGCGACCGACTATGGAGGCTCCGGCTGCAGGTGAGCGGGGCGGCCCGGGTCTAAATGTGAGCAGTGGGGGAGGGGAAGGTGCGCGGAGGGATTCTATCCTGGGGAGGGGGAAGCATAAAAAGTAGTCCCGTCTGGTAGCCGTTTATTTTATGATCTATCCGCGTATGAAGTAGTTCCCGCACGTCTTATTCCCAGCGCCCGCATGGCCCCTCTTTCCTCAGCCACCGACCCCCCCGGTAACTCCTCCAGTCCCCTCCCCCGCCACCCTCTGGGCCGGCCTCACGGCAGGTGGGGAGGGAAACAGGCCCCCCAGAACCAATTAACCCTTGGGGGAGCTGCTGCTCGCCAGGCCCCCCTCAGCCTGCTCCTGCCCCCCGCTAGTCAGCTGACCTCCTGCTCCGAGCCCCCGATCCCGCCCCTCCGCGCCAGAGCCTTTGGGGTGACCGCCGGGCCTGCTCGCCGCGGGAGGTTTTTCCCCCTTTTGGGGGGGGGGGGGAACGACGGGCGGAGAGGGGCAGGAAGAGAGTCTCCATGCACCCCCTCCCCGTGCCCCTCTTTGGGGCGGGAAAGGACCGGCCCCTGCCGCGGCACCGGGGCCTTTGCCTTTCCCAGGCAGGGGCCGGGGGAAGGCCCGCCCCCAGGCCGGGTGGGGCTTCTTTCTGCGCTGGGAAGTCCACATATGGGCCGGGGGAATCCCTTCCGTGTGGGGAGGGGAGCGAGCCTTTCCCGTGTGTGACTCCCAAGCCCTGGCGTCGCGTCCCCCGCGCCCCCCTCCGCCTGTCGGAGCGAGCTGGGCCGGGAAGGCTGGGTGGAGTGGGGCCCTGAGTACTCCCCTGCTGCCTGGAGATGGTGGCCAGGAGTCCCTCCGCTCCTCCCCACGGTATTGTGTGCCCCGCCATATGGTGGGAAGGGGCGGACGGACTCAGGTGGCCCAGGAGGGTTTTTTGGCATATAATTTACTCTTAAGGAAGAAGTGCTGCTAAATCTCTCTCTATAACGAAGCTTCTGTGTTGCTAGAAGTATTTTAGAGACGGCCCAGCATTGCTTACATGGAGATTCGTAAGGGTACCCGTATCTACCAAAGCCAGTGGTCTGAACCAGGGGAGTGCAAACTAGGGCCCATGGACCAGATCTGGCCCGTCAGGGCTTTCAGTCTGGCCCCCCGGGATTGCCAGCCCCGTGGCACAGCGGGGCTAAGGCAGCCTCCGTGGCCCCGCGCTGCAGCTGGTACCACATCCCAGTGGCCCCTGGGGGAGGGGGGGCAGAGGGCTCCGTGCGCTGCCCTTGCCTGAAAGCACCCCCCCCCCCCCCCGCTCCCATTGGCCAGGAACGGGGAACCGTGGCCAATGGGATCTTCGGGAATGGTACCCGCAGATGAAGGCAGCGCGTGGCGGAGCCATCTGCCCCAGCCCACCCCCAGGAGGCACTGCCGGACATGCTGGCTTCTGGAGTGGCATGGGGCCAGGGCAGGCAGGGAGCCTGTATTAGCCCCGCTGTGTGCTGCTGCCACCCTGGAGCCACTCAAGGTAAGCAGTGCCTGGCCGGAGCCCGCACCCCAAACCCCTCCTGCATCCCAACCCCCTGCCCTGAGCTCCCTAACCCCCTGCTTTGAGCCACCTGCCACACCCCTTCTGCACCCCCACCCCCCTGCCTTGAGCCCCCTCCTGCACTCCGCACCCCCACCCCCTGCCTTGAGCCCCCGCCACACCCTTCCTGCACCCCATCCCCCTGCCCTGAGCCCCCTCCTGCACATGGCACCCCCTCCCACACCGCACACTTCCTCCCGCACCCTAACCCCCTGCCCCAGCCCTACGTTTATGGCCCTGCATACAGTTTCCCCATCCAGATGTGGCTCTGGGGCCACAAAGTTTGCCCACCCCGGTCTAAACTGCTTAGAAGGGTGCCAGAAAAAAGCAAAAAGTAGTTTCTAATGTTCATGTGTGAAAATAACTTACAAAGGGGAATAACTATAAAATGTCCTGCTAATGTGTACTGAACTGGTGTCATTTTTTGTATTTCAAATGTCTATAAAAAAGCATATTATGGCTATCTTGTGCAAATAGCAGAATCAATCTACATAATGTTACGTGAGGGCATAGATTAAAATTGGAGATATGCCCTGCATTATGATTGCAGTTCAAGCGTGTTTGGGTGCCTTGAACTTGACTTTCAGACAACTGTTGTGCAGAATGCCTACAGTTCCAGGTGATTTCAGGTAGAATTATGGATACTCTGCACTTCAAAAAGTCAGGTTCAAGGCATCTCAAGTAGGGTAGCCAAAAATCAGTGGCCAGTTTTGAGGATGTTGGTTTATTTTCTTATGAGCGTCTTCAGTGTATTTTGCTTCAGAAGGCAGTACCTTGCAGGATAGGGTCCCTAAAGTGTAGAATGCAGCACCTGTGTTTGACCACAAGAGGTTGCTACTAGAACATGGAATATAACTTTTGTTGTCTATGAATGTAAGATAACTATAACCTTGTAGAACATTTAGTTAGATGGTGCATGTTTTTAAAAAATTATATGAGAAAAGGTACATATAGTATAAACCAGATATTTATATCCTAGTGTAGATATTTTGTAGGCTCTTTTAGCCAGTTGTTGTAACAATAGGATCTCTACCAACATTATAATCCACTATCCTATATACTAAGAACTTAACTGTTGGTTATGTCCCTTGATAAGTAAATGGATCTCTTTAAACTGTAGCAGTGTGCATACAGACTTGATTTTCTTGTATGAATTTTGTCACTTGTGTCGATTTCAGCCATTTTTAAAAGAATGTTTGCTACATTTGATTCCTACCTAAATTGTTTCATGGTCAGATGAAAGCAAGTACTAAGTATCAATTTGCTTTGCCATCTTGACAGGCAAAAGCCTCACTTTCTGTATGTGATGAATAGGCCACATAAGTTTTTCATTGTTTAAATTTCCTGGTGACAAGGTGTATTGTATTGCTGATTTTGAGATGTGGCATTGGAGTTTTTAGACTTGAGTCATCCTGTCTAGACTAAACAAGTAATTAAATAATTTGTTTTCATCCAGTTCTGAAGTCTGTATAGTTCAGGCAGAATGTTTTTTAGGGTTTTTTTTTTTTATATGAGAGAGAATGTACTAACTATTGGGCTACAAGGTATCTATGGGTTTTTCTTTGTTCCTCCTGTTGAAACTGTTCCACTTTGTATAAAACATTGATTGCAGCAGGGATTGGAACCTAGATATCCCAGGTGAGCATGTTAATCACTGGGTTATAGAATCATTTTCACTTTCTCTGACCCAGACACCTCACCACCTCCTCTCAGGTCTCCCACATTCCAAGGAGGATTAAGCCACAGTGAGCTAAGGTCACTTCAAGTGAGAGCATCTAGGACTTTTAGTTGGTTCGTTTATAATTTTCCTGAGAGTCCGTGTGTAGATAAGCCCTAGGACTCCCAATGTAAATGTAATGTAGACAAGGCTTTTGTAAGAATCAATAGGAAATATGGCACCGTTTAGTGTCCTACAGGATGCGTAGCATCTTTAAACTTCTTGCTGAAGCTTTACTTGTGCAAAGCTTACTGATTAAAAAGAATGAAATGATGATTTTCACCACACCAAAGAAAGAGAACTAAAATTAGTTAATGCCAGTATTTCCCCTCAACTTATAACTCTAAAGTGTTAATGGGTGGTGGTGGGGAAGAAAGGCCTGAAGATCAAATCTTTGGCTAAGTGTCTGCTCTTGAGGCAAATGTATGGGTAACTGAAAATCATAGTTGTTCCAAGCTCCTTTTTTGAAGGATAGAAAAATGCAATTGGCACAATTAGTTGCATTTCATCAAGATTATGAAATACTGCAGATTGTCTGAAGGTATAAAAATAAGTGCATTAGCATATTTCACAATATTTTGAAGAAAGTCTGACTTTTCTTTGTGTATCTATTTTAACCTGCTTATTTTCTATGTGGAATACCCTGAATACACAATGGCTCAGCAGCAAGCCAACAAAACCCACAGCTACATAGTAACACATATTTGAATACAGATTGCAAATATGCAGAAAATAGTGCTCCTCTCTGACAAGCCAAGAATGGTTTGCTGCCTTTTTGCTATGTCACTTTTGTTAATGCGTTCGGAGTTGAAAAGGAGTAGCATAATATGTGATACTACATATATTATAATTCTGTATATGTGCAGTTCAAAATATAAGTCTATTTACTTAACACATCACAAAATTGTTCAGTTCTTTTTATGTTCAACTAAAATTATTGGCTTGTTACTTGTTACTCCTGTGTTAAATATTAGTATGAAACTTGGATACTTCTTGTTTGAGCTAAAGTAGTTACACCAAAGAAAAAATTGTTTATATTCATGTGAGAGTCCCCTCTCCCCCTTTTCTGGAAAACCCTGTAACGCTGCCTGCAGTGACTCAAGACTGTGAGCACCAACGTCAGGGTAGACATTAAGAGCAAGGCCACAAACCCCAAATTAGTTATGAGTTCTATGCTTAGGCCTTGTCTACATTGCACAGTTTTGTCATCAAAAGGCAGCTTCTGCTGACAGAACAGTGGAGGTGTACACACTACGAAGCTACTATTGGCAGCAAAACTCTGCTGTTTTGCCGACAGAATAAAACCACCTTTAGAAGAGGCATAGAGCTTTCTGCAGCAAAGTTAAAGTGACAAAACATCAGTGTAGATGCTGCTGTTAGTTATGTCGACATAACTGGCCTCCCCTAGTATCCCACAATGCCCACCACCGTGACCGCTCTGCTCACTGTTTTGAACTTGGCTGCCCTGCAGGCATGCACCCCTCACCTTTCAAAGCTCCAGTAAGCTTTGACATTCCTCAGCATGGAGAGCTCTCAGCGGTACTGAAGATGCCGGTTATGGTGGCTGAGAAGGCTGTGGGAGAACTTGGAGGGAATCACAGAACCATCAGTATGGAATCAGCAGGCAGGCAGAGCAGACTGTTGCTGCAGGAGTGACAGGTGGGAGAGACTGCTGTGCAGTGCAGAGCCAGGGGATGATGTGAGGGGTGTTCCCTTCCCCCAGGCTT